CGAATCGTTTAGTTAGGCGAGATATCTCGCGGGTGTCGTTCGTTTGCAAAGAGCTCGGGAGCTTTACCAGCGTAAAGGTCCTCTGTGTATGGATTTTATCGAATTTCGAACGTTGAGAGGGGACGGGGGGAGGGGGGGGGGGGAATAACCGCGTTATCCCATAACCGGCGACGTAAACTCGGAAAACACAGCTTCATAATTTGACACGTAACATTTGCGGATACCATTAAAGCCACGATCCGATACTACGCGCCGGCCCTCTCTCGCTCCCTCGGCGGCTCGCCGCTCTCGATGCGTTAATTAAAATTTTCACTTCGGGTTTACAGCGATAACAGCACGGCCCTCGCGCGCACCGTGTCGAAACCGATGCGTAAAATACTGGCGTCCGGATACTGGCCTTTCAAAGGAGCAACGCGTCCATCATCAACGATAAAAACCATTAGATTAATTCGGTATAATGTGATACCGCGGAACGTTGTTGTTCGCGTACAAAAAGCCAATGGCGATGCCGGGCGAAAATGCGAAGGGGAGAGGGGGACAGGGGGTCGCATTAATGGACGGGTAATCAGAAAAATGGGTTTTCGAGTTGGCCCTGTCCGCAACATTTTCCTGTATTAACGTGAAAGCCACGCTCGGGCCAGAAACAAGTGTCGTCCAAATAAGCAACCCCTGTCGTCGATAATGGACGAAGGATTTTTAAGCCCGCGAGCGCGGCGAAAGCGTAAACGTGAATTTATGGCCCGTGCCCGGTGTTTCCGCGACAGCTACGTCGCGTGCAACTAATACGCCTGACACAATTGGAATGTTTAATATCATTCAACGTGTCAGCAAGGACACGTTGTGCACTTTCGAAACGTTCGTTTTTCTTTTTTCTTTATTTTTTCTTTCTTTTTTCATCTCTTTCCGCGAGGATATACATATATCCTCGTTTACGGATACAACAGCGGAGCCAGCGTTCGATGACCGAATGAATCGCCTCCGATTATTCAGAAAGACGATAGAAAGAGGGTACACGCGTGTCCGCGGAAAACCCGAGCGAACCGTCGGCGATGAAATCGGGCGCGCAGCCCCGAAACAGATTCTGATTCTTACTAAATGATTGATGCGCCGTTCTCTCAGGATCTCTTAGGAGGATTCCTAATGGAACCTTTCTCTTCGCTGTACGTTTTAAGATTTTACATTATGCATGCCGATCGATACTTTTCGAAGCTTTTTCGGTGTGTATAGGTAATGGACCGGCGACGTTTAAGAAGTTGTTCTCTTCGGTTGTTTTCACCGTGGAGCATCAGCCTCTCGAGTTGAAAAAATAGTTGTTAATCTGAATAAAAGCTGCAAGGTGCACTGCAGATATCCGATAAATCTTGACCGAGATGGCGAATACTCGCTCGTTCGGAGACAACCGGCTATTTCCGAATCCACTCGCTGTTCGCGAGTGTATTTTACTCGCGTCTTCGGCTGTTGTGTCGTCGTTGATTCGGTCGCGTCGACTCGATTCCACTCGGTCGTCGTTGCTCGTGCTCGTTATTCTCTCGTTAGTACGAATGCTCGAGATCGGAGCTAGCCAGCCGTAGTGTTTCGATCGGCGAGCCGGACTCGGTGAACCGAATTCAATTATATGACTCAATCCCAAAAACGACTACCGCGAACGTCCTCCTCGACCGTGTATAATAGCGCCCCTTTCGCCGTTAGTCGCGTTATTGGTTATTTGCCGATTAAAACGCCGGCCAAAAAGCCACGCATGGCCGAGCTCTGCTAACAACATTTTTGCCAGGTAGTAGTTAATTGGACTCATTGCGTCATTAATTATCGACGTCTGCGACTGGACGTGTAAACACAGTCTGGCCGGTTTGCCGTCTCGTGGAAAAATCGGACGCCTCTCTCTCTCTCTCTGTGTATATGTGTGTGTGTGTGTGTGTGTCGGTTTTCCTCTGTTCCTCTAAATCATCGAGGATTATTCGATCTCTCTGGAGGAAGGAGAAACAGAAAAAAAGAAAAAAAAAGAAAAGAAAAAAGACCGAGGCTTACGACCGAGTAATTTCGAAAAAGGGAGGGGGAAAAATCGAAGAGCGAAGGATCGAGTGGAGGCCGGTAATAACCGTCTCTGAGAGCGATATCGACGCGAGCTTTAACTGGAAGATATAAGTGGTTCGGTCGGAGGTTCATCGATGGCAACGAAAACTCCTCTTTCCAGTCTCATAAGTCACGCCGCGAGAAGGATTGCTCATTCTCGAGACGGCTCCTTTGTCCCCCTCTTGTATCCCACCCTCTCCGCGTCACGCCGAAGACCATGGAACGAGGGAAAAGTGGAAGAAGTTTGAAGCGGGGAAAAATAATTGTTTGCCGTTTCGAACCGGCGAAATCTGGCGGAGGATTCTGGCCAGGAAGAGAAGAGAAGAGAAGAGAAGAGGAAAAGGACCATCTTCCAGATACACGAGCCTCGTACAGAGAGTCGAGGGAACCTTTATTTTCGTTTACACCGCAAATAACTGGGAGGCTGGTCGCAGCGAGAGACCACGGGCCATGACCGCCGTCGGTTAATTGCGGTTCTTATATACGAATCTCGGTGGGTGAACTTGGAAGACAGAGGACTCCGGTTGTAGCAAGTGGAGGAGGGTGTCTCTCGGTGTGTCGAGAGGGTGGACAGTAGTGGGAGGGGGGGAGGGGGGGGAGAGGGAGGAAGGGGTTAGTACTGCAATGTAGGACGAGACTTTAATCTCGTCGTAATGGGGAAACGCAATTTTCCTGCAGTCCGCTGCCAACGAGGTCGTTTCCTTAGATCGATCTGCTTTATACGAGCCACGACCCTTCGCTCCGTCCACTCGTCGTCGCTCGTTTCGGAATCTCTTTGACGCGCGGCGGCAGCCGCTCTAGAAAAAAAAAAAAAGAAAAAAAAAGAAGAAGAGGGGCCAGGTGAGAGGAAAGGCGGAGGAAAGGCCACGGGATACACACAGAGGCGCTCTCGTTTTGCTCTCTTATCCGGCGCCGACCTTGTGCAGACCGTGTCCCCTCGTCTCGTTGCTGGTCTTCCTGCGTTAGACTGTAATGTGTGCTTTATGCATATATACGGGACGAACGATCGATCGATTTCCATCAATAATGCAGGCATATTGGATTCAGAAATACGGACCAGGAGGGTCCATTGAATTTCCGATATGTACTTACCCACGGCTGGGGAACGTAATATGGACACGACCCCGGCGACCGGTATCGTTAGCCGATCGCGGAAAAAAATGGCAGATGAACGACGATCGACGACCCTTCAGGCAGTTCGTACATACATATTCGATCATTGTTCGATGTTTTATCCTTTTCAAAAAATATTCTTTCTTTTTTTTTCTTTTTTAAGAAACTCTTCCACTTTCGTCAACGTTTTATTTTCCCTGGGAATCTTTGCTGTGTTTCTTTCCGCTTTTCTCTCTTTCTGTATCTATCTCTGTTTCTCTGGTTTCGCAGGATCACGTCACGTACTATTTACCGTAGCAGCGGGTTTTTACGCGACCGTGTAATCCAACGGGAGTAGAGCTGTTATCGCGTGACGAGCGCGGGATGTAAGAATAACAATCAGGGACGGAAGGAAAAATTGAGCAAACTTTACAGACGTCTCGGCGAGATGACGGGGAAACTGTGCACGATCTTTTAACCTCATCATTATTTCTTCGCCGTCGAGCACGATACAATTTCCCATCAGGAATCGATCTCTCGTCCTGCTCTTTGAGCCGCGAGACAATCCCTTGAAAAAATATTGCTTTAATCACGATACGATCTTCGGTGCGCCAACATTTGATACGAAACGTAAGCACGTCCGTTCCGTTTGGTTAAAGGCGTAGAACGTGTTTGAGCACACCGAGCTTCGCGTAATAGCGATTCCACCTTTTACTAAGGTACACTTGTTACACCTTGGCAAGTTGGCGCGAATCGCAAAGTTTACGCTGCTGTAACTACGCGGGTGAGTTAGCTTCCACCCCTACTCGTCGCGGATTAAAATAATGTCTATCAGGAGGAGAGTAGGGTTCAAATTCGTCGTAACTTTGTACCAAAGTACGAAATAATTTTCCGCGAACGGTCTCGAAGGGGGGAAGAACAAAAGAAGAAGTAGAAGAGGAAGAAAAAAAGAGGGAGGAAGGAGGAGGAATAAAGTATAACAAAGTACGATAACTAGAAGAAGCAGTTCGTTGAAAGGAGCAGCATTAATAAGAAAACTTGGTCGCGACGAGCCGGGGCCAAACGAACCGAGAAAATTCAAATTCTCGCCGGGGTCTGCCGCTCTGTCACGTCACATATCACCAGCCAAGATTTTTCCTCCTTGATGGAAAACTTGGGTCCGGCTTGTGGAGGGAGGGGAGTTCCGCTTGCGAGATAGCCCCTGGCCAGGAAGCCGAGACTCAAAGTTTACCCGACCGCTTTTTCCTTTGTGGTATCATCGGCGTGTCTCAAACGGTTCAACAGGGTTTTCACCCCACCCCACCCCACCCCCTTTGGCAGGTGGTCTCGTGCTTCTACCCTTTTCTACCCTTCCGACCGAGCGACGGCGTACCCGAGCTAAACGAAATTAAAACGTCGAGCTAAGTTTTTGCGAAGTAGGTGGACCGCGGAAGGCGATGGAAGGAGAAGGACGGTGGCAATGGTGGTAGTGGGTGAAAAGGGGTTGATGAAACGAGGAGAGACAGAGGAGACAGAGGAGAGAGAGAGAGAGAGAGAGAGAGAACCCATCTTCTGCGAAGAAAGGCGGCGTGCTTCTCCCTCTCTTTTCATAAAAGTGCCACGAATGCCTGCCGGCAAAAGAGACTTGACCTTTGTGCCTGGCAACATTATTAAGTCCTTTGGAGCGCGTAAAGGGCCGCCGGAAGCGACGAGGATGCTTCAGGGGGAATTAGAGAAGACATTCGAAACGAAATAACTTCAAAATTCTTCGTTGGACCGAGCCGGGACAAGCCGGAAAGGAAGATGCTTACACCGGAAGAATCCGTCTGATCTCGCTACCGCCTGCGATTGCCTTTTACCTTCCTCTCTCTCTCTCTCTCTCTCTCTCTCTCTCTCTCTCTCTCTCTCTCTCTCTCTCTCTCTCTCTCTCTTCTGTGTGTCTTTGCGATTCAGCGCAGCGATTGCGCGCTCTCTCTCTCTTTCTCTCTCCGAGTCTCTCGCTGATATCATTTCGGCGCAATTTTTCAGTAACTCGCCGCGCCAGAGACTGCGGTAGGTACGTAGGAGACTTAACAAGACGCGCGCGGACTCGAGCGTGGAATTACCTCTCGCCGTGAATTCCAATGTGAATAACGCTGCTGATTCCGCTTCTTTCTTCCTTTTCTCCCTTCTCTTTTTTTTACTTGTCTCTTCTCCCCTGTTCCATCTTCTGGCTGCTCTTTGTCTCGTCATTAGCAGGTCGTTCGAAATATTCCGGTACGCGAAACAACGGCGATGTTCCTTTAGCAGTTACGCCTCGGTGGCTATCATATTTCCTTCCTTTCCATCGTTCTTTTTTTTTTTTTCTCGCAGTTGGTGCGGAGAGCGGCGCAACGTGGCAGGGCGAGGCGAGTTCGCCGGCGTGCTAATACCGGTTAAGAATTACGCGAAATTGCACGCCGGTTGCCCGAGGCTACGGGAATGGAATATCGAGAGACGTGAATTTGCGTCGGATTAACGAGCCGCCTCCGGACGAAGGAACGAAACAAAAAGAAATAAAATATTGGTCGGCGTGGCCGTCGGCTATGCGGCCCCCTCGCGTGTTGTACGCTCGCGATCTAACAAAGATCAACGCACGCGAAACGATACATCGCATGAAAAAACATTTCGCCGCGCCGCGCCGCGCCGGTAATACAGAGAAGATGAAAGTCACTTTCATTTGCGCTCGTTCCCTAAATAAATCTGTACGCCTCTCTGACGTGCAAGCTCTCACCGTTGTAATCCCAAACATTTTTCCCTTTTTTCTATTTTCTTTTCCTTTTTTTTTTTTTTTAACACATGCGCTCGTTTCGCGTATACTTTTTCAGATACCGAACCATCTTGTCTGGCTGTGCTTCTTCTACCTGACTTTCCACTCGCTCTTGAACCTGATCGGCGAGCTGTTGCATTTCGCCGATCGAAACTTCTACTGCGACTGGTGGAACGCGGACAACATCGACACATTCTGGAGGACGTGGAACATGCCTGTCCATCGGTGGGCCGTGCGGTAAGTGGTTTTAACGCGACCAGTTGTATGTAGAATACATACGCTGCGACACGCGAGAGTCCGACAACAATCTTTTGCTCGAGTAAGCTCGATATCCTTCCGGCGATTCTGCTCTCTGTTCACGAGTCGCAAACGTTCGAAAAAATAGCCGCGCGAGAAGAAGCTAGATCGTAGAGCCTTCACGAACAGCCCACACATAGCGTGCCTTTCGTGGTTGCAAGTTGCCGACGGTTAATTCTGCCGTTAACAAAAGTATACATCTAAAGAATGTCAAACGGTAACTTGCAGATTTCTTCGATCACCATGGATTGTTTGAAAAAACTGTGTCGGATAGTGCCATGCTCGATGTAACTGCCTATTCATGCAGTTTCTAAGTTCAACGTGGTTTAGGTTTAGTCGTACAGAAATTAATTAGGAGACGAAGCTTCGATACGACGATATGGCGCTGCGATCGAAATCGAGCGCGAAACGTTTCCACGCTTTTCTGAAAGTCAAAACGCGCGCAGTCTCTTGCCAAAGAGCGTCGAGATAAAAGCAGAAACTAGTTCGAACAAGCAGGCGAGTCGTCTCTCCGCGTTCGAACGTGGCAGCAGGGGGGGTGCGAAAGTGCGAACGTAAGGAATGAAAACAGCGTCAGGTATGGTACGTGGCGGTAGGTCGGGGTGCGGGCAAAGTAAGGAAAAGTAAGGGAGAAAGAAGTCGAGGAGTATCCAGCCGCGAGTCGTACTTTTGATCGAGCTTCTTTTCGCCTAAGCGGCTAAACTTCGTTAACGAGTGTGCCCCGGTTTAAGGAGATTTAATTACATTTTTCGCGAAAACCCGGCTCCTGTCTGCCCTACGAAAAGGAAGAGAAATTCCCGTGAATCAGAGACTTTCTCCCTCGTAACCTGCACACCCCCTCCTCTCCCCTCCACCTCTCCTCCGCCGCGCCGCCCCTTTCAAACCCCCGTGGAAACTGCTGTGCGGCTAATTGTTTTAGCTTCTACACCCTTCCACCCTTTCTCTCTACACCTTTCTATGTGTGTATATATATATATGTATATATATATATATATATATAACTCTAAGTAGTACTTTTAATGTCCGCGTAATTGGAAAGGGTGTCGGACGGGCGGCGGCTGTTTGAAAACTATTCTGCCGCGAAATGGAACTACCCGTCGCGGCTCGCGCGCGGCGGAAAATCTTTCGCGTTTTAACGTTTATTTCGGATAATTAATTCCGCAGCCGTAGCTGTTTACGTACACGGCGCCGCTAATTAACTTCTACTTCAATCCTTGCGTCATTTCCATTTTGCTCGAACGTATGTCCGCGCGTGCAACGATACTCTTTCGTTCGTGACAGCAACCGGTTGTAACGCTCGGCTACGGAATGAAATATTCACGTCTGTTCCGTGGGCGAGAGTAGAAGTTGATTCGAATCGAGAGAACGATTAGACGATGGAAAAAAGGACAAAAAGGAGAAAAATAATAAGCGAAACGTTCGAATCCAAACACGGAATTTTATACCACGTACGACGTTGCGTTGACAATTGTTGGGTGCGTGTGTACGACGGAATTTTCTCTTTTCTTTTCTGTCTCTCTTTCGTTAACCTATCGTTAGCGTCAAACTTGATATTTACGATTTTTCGAGAAACTCGCGCGGGAAAATCTCGTTCTGACGGAGTACAAGCGTCGGATAAGCGCCGGCTTACGCCCTGCTTTGGCACTTTTTATCCCCATACGTCTTGCCGCCGTCATCGTTCCATTGGATTATGCATCGCTCGCTCAATACAATCAGCAAAGTTGTGAGAAACTTTCCATATAGGGCCTTCGGACTTTTCCGCCGCACGGTTTTCCCGGCGCACGTGCCGCTAACAACTCGCGCCACGGCCGCGGTGACGACGGCCGCTTTTACTTCGAAAGTAGCTCCGCGGAAAGTTTAAATCCTCGAAAAAGGTAGCCGTGGAAAAGTTGTTATTGCGGGGAGAGGGGGAATGGGAGAGGTGGGAGGGAAGAGAGCACCGCGCGAGGCGAACGGTGTCGCGTACGTGAAAGGGTTGGAAATCCGAGGATCGGAGGGTTTTCTCTCTCGCGAGGAACGGGGAAACAATAATTCTTTACCGTCTGAGAGACGGTAACTCCCTGGAGTGGAGGGCAGCATGCATACGCGTACGCACGACGAAAGACGAAGCGAAACTGACAAACGGCGAAAGTTGACGGTTTCAGCAGCGCCCCGGAGCGTAAGGCACCGGTCCGGATGGCATCGAGTCGTCAAGTTGCAATTAACTCGATTCCGTGCAATTAACTCGGCAAAAACAGTAATCGGCTTTGCTGCCCTGAAACCGTCGGAGTCGCCGACGTTCCCAAGGCTCGAAATTTCGTCGTTTTCCGGGTTCCTCGACGTTCCTCGGGGAGCTGCACCTGTGCTCCCAACCCTTCTATCTCTTTCTCCTTCTACTTTCTTTTTCTCCTTCTTCTTCTGCTCCTCTTCCATTCCTCGGTCGAGATATGCAGCTGCAATTGCAAGCTGCAACTGGCACGTAGCCATGCGACCGCGCGGCGGTAGCGACGGAGGATAGAAAAGAGAAGGGCGTGAGGAGGAGGAGAGGAAGCGGCTGCGAGAGGTGAAAATGGAAAAGCTGCACGAGGATGGACCGGCGCGAGGAATGGGAAAGTAAGAGGGGCGGAAGGGGTGGGCGACATAGACGGTCGCAGACGAGGGAAAAGGGGGAAGGACGACTCTCGACGAAGACGGCGTCTTTTCAGGTTTGTAATGGGAAAAGCCGATACGCATCGTGGTGCGCGCACTTAAGGCTGTTTATTCCCCGCGGCACTTATAATGCCTCTATAACTGGAAGATATTTCGAAGCGTCTTTTCCATGAACGACGACGAGAACCGCGGCGAGGGGGCGGCAAGTGTATTCGCGTGAGAGAGAGAGAGAGAGAGAGAGAGAGAGAGAGAGAGAGAGAGAGAGAGAAATAGGAGAGTAGTAGATTGAAGGAGAAACGGTAAAAACGAAACAGAGTGAAGAAAAGGGGGCTGCTATTTCGCGGAGAAACGAGGAGGAGAGTGGATCTCCGAGGAGGTGGAAAGGAATCTCCTCTTCGCGGCAACGACGACAACGTCCCACCTTGAATTTCCTTCCTTCCTTCCTTCCGTTTCTCTCGCTCTCGCACGCCGTTTCTGTCTCTTCTTTGCGCCATTTTTTTTTCTCTTCCCTTCCCTTCCCTTCCCTTCCCTCCCCTCCGGCCGTCGCCGCCTTCCAGCTTTCTTCATTCCAATGCACCGCCACTGATAACCAACCCGGCTAACGATCTCTTCCTGTCTCTCGCTGGCTCGCGTCGTGTCGTTCTCTTGCATCCCAGTCGCGTTCCGCGAACGGGCACACACCAAAGTGTCGCTGTTCCGGCAAATTTGCACGACCATTGCTTTAATTTTTCGAGAGACGATTCCGCTCACGTTGATCCTTAAACGCGACGCTCCTTATCTGTGTCCTTTCCCTTTTTTCCTCTATCTTTTCTCTCTCTCTCTCTCTCTCTCTCTCTGCTTTCGTTTCTTTTTAACGCTCGCCGGCGTTATTTCGCGGTACAACACAGTAATAGGAGCGAGTGCACCTATTCGAGGAAGACGTTCTCTCGGATATTTTCGCCGCGCGGAGCAGGGAATCGTCGAGGGAAACGAGCCCGGGAATTCCAACCTCCCCCGATTCCCTCTATTAAACGGACGCGTAATTCCTCGCCGCTTAATCGCGGCCAAGCGGAGACGCGAGACGCTTTTGTGCTAGGTTTCTCCTTGGTTTCAGGCACTTGTACATCCCCATCATCGAAATGGGCTATGGGAAAACGACCGCGTCCGTCACCGTGTTCTTCATCAGCGCCTTCTTCCACGAGTATCTCGTCAGCGTGCCGCTCAAGACGTTCAAAACGTGGGCGTTCCTGGGAATGATGGGACAGGTAAAATTTACTCGTATAATATTCCGGTCACGGTCTGAATTATGCCTATAACGTTCAATCTTTTCGGTACGGTAGGTGACTGTAATCGCCCATTATTGGCGAGCCAAGCTTCCTCGCTACCATCGAGAATTTCGTTCTCATATTATATTCGAGGAAGTGGGAGAGAAAAGAAAAAAAAAAAATTGAAGGATAGGCTGTCGGGCTATTGCTTTGAGAATTTATTGTTAACTCTGCGCGAAAGTCGCAGCGAGCTGTTTGACAGTTTTACCTTTCGGAAACCTTTCGTCTACGAAAATGCATGACGTCTATAGTATTGCCGTGTATTTCCGAGGATCTGAATTTCACCACCTCGTCTTCTTCGCTCAAAGAGAGAGCGACCCGCGGTAAAAAAGGAATTGCCACCGAAGCACAGCATTATTATTAACCTCGCGGCGTTTCTCAGCTGCACGCTGCGGCGCGACCAATGGAATTTTTAGAATTCGCCCATTCTTCGACGGGCTTAAAACTTTGAAAGCTTCGTTCACTCGTTCGCTCGAGCCAATGGGCGCGGCTCATTGTCCGTGCCGTGCCGTGCCGTACCGTACCGAACTGTACCGCGTCGAAAGAGTTGAAAGAAATTTTAATCAACCAATTTCTTCGTCAAACATTCGGCCGCACAAAGGGGGGGCCCGAAGGAGATCCTTCGACACGAGGATATCTGGAGCCGTCCGCAGTCCCTCGAAAGTTTCCCGCGGCGGGATCATCTTTTCGGAGGCGATCCAACTGTCGAAGGATTAATATTAATTTGCAGACCGTCGGGCGGCGGGGCGGGAGGGGGAGGGGAGCACCTCCGAACCAACGACGAAACTTTTTAATTGATTTTATTCCAGATACCATTATCACTGATAAGTAGGAAGGTGGAGAAGCATTGGGGCACCAGATGGGGCAACATCACGGTGTGGGCGAGTCTCATTATCGGACAACCACTTTGCATAATGATGTATTACCACGATTACGTGATAACTCACTTCGGCGAGAACCTGATCGAGGATCACTCGATGGTGTAGAAGGAGGCGGAGACGAATCGAACGCGCAAAGGTCGGGGAAGAAGGGTTGTTTCTGCCCGAAGAGTGAACGAGCCCAACTCGTCGAACTGTTCCATCAATCGTCATCTTTTTTTTCCCCTTCGTTTCTCACGCCGTGCAGATTTCTCACCTCCGTGTCGTGCGTAGGCTATTTTTCAATCGATCCTTCGACGTTAACGCGAATTTACGACGTTTCGTCGTTCCCCTCCGACGTTCGTCGCGACGACGAAACAGCAACGCGGACGGGAATATAGGGATCGATTGAAAATCGAACGAGCCAGTGGCTCGAACTGCCTGGTTTTCAGGTCTAGTTTGTATCGCCCGTTAAACTTTCAAACTTCCGGGCGCAAGTGCTAATCCTGAATTAATATCTCGATTTTTTACTCGCGAGATCGCGAAGAATGGCCGAGTTGCAACATTGGAATTGCGCGAAGAATCTTAACAGGGGAAACGCGAAATGAAACGTACGGTCAGAGTGTTCTTTTCCTCGTTCACGCGCCGACGTTCGTCGAACTGTTGTCAGATATTTACTCGTTTCGTCATTTTTATGCATGTTTTAATAACAGCCGGCAAGGCTGTTTGCTCACTTTGATACCAGCGTTTTACAGGTCGCTGCGCGTCCCGGCCTCGTTCGCGATTTATTCGCGGAAAATCACGATTACTTGAAACTGTTGAAACTACGACGTTGTACCGATCGACGCAGATGTAATCAGCCATTTTAACATCGATATCGGCTGTGCGTACGCATTTTTTATCACTCGTGAAAATCCTCGGACATCGTTGACTTCGCGAGCCTGGGCCGCGTGATATTATGCGCGCGTTTCAAGACAATAATTCAGCCAATATTTTTCCTATGTAACGATACTTTATCGCTAGAGCTATCGGGAGGGGCAGCGAGAGCGCATCGAGGGTATATTAGCCGTAATAAATTTATCCCGGGGCGCGCAGTCTGGCCCCGTTGCGTATCCGGTGAATATTTCAAGGCAACCGGGCTGCGTATCACGAAGAAGCAGATGCCGAGGATTTAACGAGGCAACTTGCTGCCAGTTGTATACGAACACAGACGATTTTCTAGATTCCCGTTGTGCGCTAGCTAGCGCTCGCATGCTGCACGAGCGCGGCTGTGTTGTCGAATAAACGAGACCTTTGTTACCAGCCTCGTTAAATTTCGTTCCATCCCTTGAAAGAAAACTCCACGGAAATTTGTCGTTGACACTGTTACCACGTAACCGGGGTAACGAACTTTATTTTCGAAAGGTTGAAACATCGTCGATGTTATATATTTAACACGTTTGCTGCGGTTTCCAAACAACGTGTACCGAGCAGATTCGTATCGAGTCGTTTCTCTTTTCAAGTGTTTCAACTTCATCTTCGTGAAAACGAATCGGTTTTCGAGAACGGAGTCGCGATATTTTTCAGAATAGATACGGCAGCAGACAATTTGCGAAAGTACCTATTTCCCTACCCGTCCCAACCAACGGCAAACAACTCAACATCATTGTTCTGCTCGGTGTCTTCCAACTCGATCGCGTCATGTTTTTAAACGATGCCCTCCGTCTCGCCCTTTTATTTCTTTCGGCTCCGGGAACGCGGGAGAAACGACGTTTCTGAAACACCTGATGGCGAAGGGGTAGGGGGTGGTACGTACGAAACCGCCCCTCTTGCGTTTCGAAGCAAAGAAAGAAAGAAAGAAAGAGGGTGGAAGCTTCTCGAGGTCGAGGAAGAGGGATGTTTTTTTTTTCTCTTCGAGCCATCATCCCCCGAGCTTCGCCGGTTGTCTGATGAGCCTGGATGTCACGACCCGTTTGCCCCGAAGCGGTCTCGGCGATGGATAAATTAATGATGCGGGGCGCTCACCACCGACAGTCGGACATACGTCTGCGTCAGAGAGACGCGATGTTATATACCATCCAGATACGTGACAAGCGTGGAGACTTACGAGCGGGCGGATCCAAGCGAGTCGGGAACGAATCGGCGCGCGTTCGAGCGGATCCCGCGCGAGTACAGAGCCGAATTTATCGACGCAGGCGGGTCACGAGTTGCCGAACGAGTTGGGAAGAGGGTCTCCTCTTTGGTTCTGACGATCCGCTCGACGTTAACGTGACCAATTAACCGGGGGATCGAACGGTGATTTCTGCGTTCTTTCTCCGATCGAGTGGAATTTTTCAGAAATTTCACGCGAGTCGATCGCGAGAGAGAAAAAAAAAATAAATAAATAAAAAGGAAGAAGCAAACAGAAGCGGCGGCGAGTTTTAGTACACATTCGAATAGGTTTCGTGCAGGTCGGCGCGCGCGCCTGTGGGAAAAGTTAGCACGAATTGAAACGATTCCGCGGGATTTCCAGTGGATTCTAGAAGTTTCGCACAAATTGAAACCGGTCCTCGTGAGTTGGAGTGAATCGAAGAAGGTTAGCGTGACGTTCACGCGCGGTATGACGAGCACTGGAGCGCGTCCAAGTGATTTACAGCGGGATAACGCGAGAGTGCCGTTGGGTGCCGAGTAAATTAGAATCGGTCTCGGTGCTCCGTCCAACCGTTCCCGCTAACAATCCTCCCATTTGCAAAGGCATAACCCTCCCTGTGTCAATCAACGTAACGAAATTCCAGCTGAAATTCCAGTCTGAGGAAAAGTCTCGGACCAAGGAGAAGAAGAAGAAGAAGAAGAAGTAGAAAAAGTAGAAGAAAAAGAAGCGGTACGCCGATACCGATGGTCCGTCCGATCGCAAAATCTCGAAAGGTGCGTTCGTTTCTCGCGCACGAGGTTCGCGAAGAATGCGTCGGCTGGCCTTTTGAACGCTTATTCCAGAACGCTTGCGTTATCCTGTAAGGTGGGTGGTGGCAATGGTGACGGTGTGCAGAGCGCGGGGGATGATAGAGCAGGGTGTGCAGGCGGCGTGGGTGGGTGGGTGGTCAGGGTGACGCGAGGGGTGCACGAGGTTGTGGCGGTACAGCGCAGAGGGTCGAAACGAAGGGTGAAGAGAGCGAGAGAAACGGCGGTGGGTGGGTGGGGGTTGCGCGAGGCGCGGGTAGGGGGCACGGTGTGAGCGCAACACGATGCTATAAGGGCGGGTACGCAGCCAAGTCTCCGCAGTGAGCGCCGCGACGCCTTTGGAGACGTATCGTGCGAAACGGTCGATCGGCGATCGCCGGTAACACGAGGCGTTCAGCTATTTCTCCATCCTTCCTTCCACCCACGAACGACGACTGTGCTGTGTTTTTGTGCTTGATTCCCTTGTTTTTTTTCCTTTGGTTCTCTCCGAGACTTGAGAAGCAGGCTCCGCGCAGCAAGGGAGAGAAAACAGGTTGATTCCTCGAGGGAGGGACACTGAACACGGAACACGCACCGAGCGTATTGGGAAAAGCGACGAAGAAAAGCAGAAACGATTCGGCTGGAACGCACGACTGGAACGACGCGACTGGGGGCTTTGCGAGCCGGAGCGATGTTCACGCAGCTTCCAAAGAGAGATAGGTACGTACGTGTGAATTTTGTTATCGGCAAACGCGAACGTCGGAATTCCGCGCATCCGCCCGGGGAAATTGGAAATCGAGCGAGAATTGTTGACAAAAGCAATCAGCGATTAACGAAGGTTATTAGGTTGATATTTCTAATTTTTCGCCGATGTCCCCTCGCGCGAATTTATCTGGATTGGGAATAATTGCAATCAGTCGGTCGTGCGTCGCTTCAATTAAGCTACCGTGCAATTTGGGAATTCGATTTCACTACGCATAAAAAAAAAAGAAAAAAAAAACGAAGAAGAAAAAAAACCAGAGGAACGGATCGATGCGGCGTTATTCGTCCTCCGGAAGAAATCGCCGATGAATCATTCATACGGAACGTCAATTAAACGTTCGTTTGCTTAGTAGAACTGGCGTGAAAAAAATAATTCGCGATCTCAAACGCTCGCGCGTCGATCAGAGAGAAAGAGAGAGAGAGAGAGAGAGAGAGAGCACCCGGGCGTTACTCTCTCAGCCCAACTTACCGCTCCGTCCGTAAAACTTGTCCAGATTCAACGTCTTATTTATTTCCTTTCAGCCGTGCGTTAACGCGAAATGATCGACGTTCGAGAATCGAAGATAACCGGCAGTGGCGTTCCACCTCTGCTTTCGTTCTCCTCGGTTATCGCGAGAAAAGCGACGAATCACGTCGTTCATCGGCGCGATAACAATGACTCGACGTTTGTTAAAGAGCTCGCTGGTAATTTCGCGTCGAAGAAAAATGGCGCTGCCGTTGGTTGCCTCGGTCGTTCGTCATGATACGAGCCAAGTTCACCGACGGAGAACAAGAGGCCGACGCACGGCATCGGAAAGGGGGGAAATTGAAGCGAAGCTCTACGTCTCGCGCAGGATGATCGGCAATATCTCACACGATAGAACGTGACGCGGCGTTGCACGATGTTTTTGCTGGTGACAGGGGAGAATTATTCGCAGTCACGTGCCGATATTAGAGCCCAAGCTACTCGAAAACGCGCGTGGACCTGGTGCGTGGATCTGGCGTTCCAAGAAAAATAACTCGCACGCTCGCTATTTCCGAGAAAGAGAGAGAGAGAGAGAGAGAGAGAGATCATCCAACTCAAAATCGATATGTACGTGAAAGAGTTCGAAAACGAACCGCAACGTATCGCCAACGCGTCTTTCTTTCGATTTCGCATTTGCGTAATTTTATCGGTGTTTTGAGACTTGGAAATCTTGCTTCGCAGACTCGTTGGCGATACGTTGCGGTTCGTTTTCGAACTCTTTCACGTACATATCGATTTTGAGTTTGCGAGATGGCCTCTGAGTAAGCAAAGGTAGAAATCGACCGTCAGAGCGCTGTGGCAGATTTTTCATCGCGCGAAAGTCGAGAGATCGTTGGGCAAACTACTCGGATGATCTTCGATCGAAGCGTCGTTGTTTTCGTTTCCTTTCTTTTGTATATATATATATATATATATATCAAAGACTTACACGAAAAGAGGAGAGAGCGCAAACTTTTCCGACTGTACGTTTACACGAAAAATATAGGTAAAAGACTTAACAGGAAGTCAGTCGCCTGGCAGGATATACTATTGTAAACAGAGGAGAGATGCACGCCCATCCATCTGACTTTTAAAGTGCATTTCGCCAAGAAAATATTAATAAAACGATCCGTAGTCGAGTTAAAATTCAGTTAGGCAAAGTTTCTCAAACTTACATGTTAGCGAGAACATTTTTCTTCCGATAGCCTGATTCCCTGGGGCGCGTATGCTCGTTTTCTTCTATTTCTTACCGTGGCAAAAACTTTCTCAACCCGTCAAACGTCGAATCATTGCCCCGGCTCAAGGTTTTCAATCCCTGATTGCCGATTCAGGATTACACGGTGTTAATGGCGGCTCATCGAATCCGAGCATCACGCTATCCGTTGAGCGCGTAACCGCAAAAAAACTGGCACCGATTTTTCGCTCACCCGGCCCCCCCGTGCCGGAAGATCAGATTCTCGTTACGTTCGTGACCATTATTCCCGTTTAACTCTCTCCGGCGATTGTCAAAGAAGCGGTTTCTGCCAAGTACCGAAAATCGCGTGAAACCGCTTTGATTGCTATTTCTATGCGGGTAACTTTATAGAGGCGAAGAAAAAGAAAAGGCGGCGGAGAGAAGGGTGGAGAAAAGGAAAAAAGAGAAAGGAGGAGAGGGGAGGGGGGAAACGATTTGGTCGTGTAAAGTTGTAGGGCAAATACAGGGCGAATCTACATGGGGCGCGCGTAAAACGTTTGATTTCAACGTGGGCGTGCGTGAATTTCACAGCTCGCGCCTCCTCGTTGCCTCCTCGCTCTCAATATTCCATTATTCAATTATTATTCAGTTCCAGCGGGAAGCCAATTAGTCAAGTTAGACGCCGCAGACTCGGAACGTATTTGACGAGCGCGCGGGCAAAGTTTGCGAACGATCCGAAGGTCCGTGACCTCCGTCTCCGAACGCCTCGCTGTTTTCCGATCCCTCCCCCCTCCACCCACTCCCATCCCCCCCCGTACGTTCGTTTCTACCGATTTCGCCGGTTTCCACCGCCGTGTTGCTGCATTCCCGCCAGACATTAAACATTCCTGTCGCGTAAACTCTCTAATCAAAATCCGACACGTTCTCCGGCGCGAGGGTAGAATTGGCTCTCGTTTCGATAACCGTTTTCGTTGTTTTGAAATAAGGCAGTCGTTTTGAATATTTAAATTTCATCGGATGCCGGCCTCGTTTCCCAGCGATAACGCGTCGCAACAATCGCTGCATCTCGCCGAATTTATGAAGACTACATTCAATAATATATCGGCGAAACTTGCAACCTACGTTGGACAATGTATCAGCGAAACGCGGAAACACCACGTCCGCGTTATTGGCCGTCGTCGTTTGTTAAATCTGATCGCCGGTACTGCGTTTCGTATCGTTTTACGAAACAATTACGATCATTGCAACGTGCGTAGAAACGATACGAGATTTCACCTGTGTGGTGGTAATTAATGCAAATATAAATATAAAGTTTATTAATTTTGGAACTAATCGATTGGAAAAATCTCAACACGACGATGACGAGAGATATTAATCTCTCACGCTATCGCAACTCCCCATTCTTTGTACTCTTAAAACCTTCATCCTTTGAGAACTCGCACGCACGTACACACGCAGCCTAATATTTTAAGTCTTAAACCTGAACGACTAGACAAAAAGTTTGGTATTTTTTCATTGCGACAATTGCCCCACGCAGGAGCAAGTACCGAGCAATTTCCCAGGTTTCCTCACCCCACAGTAATTCAAAGTATTGCAACGATATCTGTCGTTATATTCGTCCGATCAGAAAATTGCTCTCCTACTGTAGACCTACTCGCAGATCAGCGTAAGTAAAGTAACGAATTTCTTTCGTTCTCGCGAGGAAAAGATTTGTGAAAGAGAAGTCTGAACAGACCGTGGGGACTCGAGAGAGAGAGAGAAAGAACTCGATCTACGGAAAGAACGGGATGGAAAGGGCAGAGGGGGTAGAAAGCGAAGACGAGGCGGAGGCGCGAGGATTTATATATATATATATATATATATATCGCGAGAGCACGATGTAAAAAGGAGGCGAGGCATAGAGGAAAATGGAGACAAAAGAAAGAAAGCGGAAAGATGACTCAGAGCGCAAAAAGGAGAGGGTGAGAAATCATGTTCAACACGTGTTCCTCTTATCACGTTCATTTTGAAACACGGCGAGCTCTCACCGTTCTTTTGACGAGGAACGTAATAAGGACGAAAGGCCCGAGACTACTCCGCGCGAGTTTCATCCGAATATAACTCGTTAATACGAACTTTCCCGTATCTACGAGGGTTCCTCTTTCTTCTCTCTCTCTCTCTCTCTCTCTCTCTCTCCTCACGGTTTTCTATTTTTCCTCCCTCTTCCTCTTTTAAACGTTCCTCACGCGTCGGATAAAAAGGAAACGTGTATCGACGTGGTGACGCCTTTTTCATTCGCCCTCCTTTTTGTCGAAATTAGATGTACGTGGTGACATGGCAGAACACGAGACGAAAATCGCACACATCGACAGAAAACGGGGAATTTACGTGGAAAACCTAAGCGTGCTACACAGTTTCTTAGTAGACATTCTGTTCTACCCTGAACCAGTGCGCTAAAGAAGCGGAATTATTTTATTACAACAGAATAATGAGGCAGTCTTCTCCTTCACACCGTTGTGTACACCTTCCCGAGAAAATATACAACGTTGGCAGAGTTGGAAATACCAGAGCAAACAATCGAAACACACAAACAAGGGAGGAAAGACAATCTTCAATATGGATGCGTGTTTGTTAACAATTCTTCCTCTCTCTCTCTCTCTCTCTCTCTCTCTCTCTCTCTCTCTCTCTCTTTTAAAAATAGACACAATGGTATTGAAGCCAAGTTATCGTGCCGATACTTAAAACGATCTGCAGAGGAAAATCACAGTACGATGCTTTGGGATAGAGTTTGGGATAGACGATGGTACCATTATTATCCGCGATATCAATGAAACAACGACCAGGACATTTCATACACTTTCATCCGGTGCTGCTGCTGGCAGGAGTGAGCACCCTCGGTCTAAGAACGAGCCGGAAAAACAAAGAGGAACAGAGGACGAAGCGATAGCGGTGGAGAACGGACGAGAAGGAAAAGGGGGTTTGTATATCGAGACAGCTGGAAGATGAGGGCAGAAGGAAGGAGGGTGAGAGAGCGTGCTCAACACGTGTTTCTCTTATCGCGTTCATTTCGAAGCGTGGAGTGCGACCCCTCTGACACCATCACTTGCTTGTACTCGTCGCAGAAACAGCAGCAGCAGCAGCAGCAGCAACAGCAGCAGCATCGCCAACACACACCATGGCCTGATTTATTTCGCTCCTCAATAATTCTCTTTTATTTTCTCGCATGCCCACCTCGCTTGCTTGGCCCGCAGCTACCTTTTGATCTATCGTACTCCCGCGACGTCGATTCATTTTTATTTACGAGCCGATGCCCTCTACTCC